GGTAACTATGTGAGGAGATAAGTATGTTAGTTAACTTGATTGTGGTAATCGTTTCACAATATACTCATATCAAATATTCATTTTGTATACCTTTAGAAATCATGTTGTACAACCTAAACATATATGATCATTATTTGTAAATTATACCTCAGTAAGCTGAAAAAACCCAACTGTGTATAATTATTTTAGGCCCAATTATAGAAAATTGCACAGGCTTTACCTTGCTAGTTTCACAGGGAGAGCTGCCCTCCCCACACGAGGTCTGGTGCATAGCCAGCGTACCAAAAGGGGATTGCAGTTATGGTCTCAAGTTCTCCTGGCCAGCTATTTCTAACCGAAGTGTCTTCATTCTGAGTCTCTTTATCTGGGGCATTGCATGAAGGTCTCCTTCAGTCACCTCCCAAAGTCTCTTTATTGGAGAGGTAACAGGAAACCATAAGGCACTGCTTTCACTATGACTCTATACCTAGTACTTTTCCATACCCAGCCCTTCCTTCATCTCTTCTCAACCCCAGAGTACACACAACTGCTGAGGCATTTTGTTCAGGGCTCCTTTAAAAGGGAGATCCACCTCACTCTGAACCAGGAAGTGCACTGTCCCACGGGGGAAGATACTGTAGATGGGAGGTGGGTAGGAACTTTCTGTGGTTTTAGACTCCTGCTTATACCAACAAAGAAAGTGCCTGAGGCCTAAATTAAATTCTTCCATATGTGATTTGTTGGTTTTAATCAGCTACTTTAACACCTGGCAACTCAGCTCTCTCTCTCCTATTGCAGCTGAGCTACTGACAGTTGTTTTTATTTATATTCGCTTCAAACAATTTTCGAAATCGCTGTTTGATTCATTCTTTGACCCATGAGTTATTCAGAAATGTGTGACCATTTTCAAATTTTAGAAAATTGTCTAATTTTCTGTCTCATTACTTTTTAACTAAAATGCATGTGGTCTGAGGAAATGTTTTGTATCAATTGAATTATTTTAAATTTATTGAGTTGTTTTCTGGTTCAGAATATTGTCTTAGTAAGCGTCCCAAGTGCACTTGAGAAGAATGTCTATCTTGTTGTTGGTTGAAATAGTCTACAAATGCTAATTCAGTCGGTTGGAGAATGCTGTGTAAGTCTACTGTGTCCTTGCTGAGAGTAGGTCTCCTGGTTGTATCAAGCATTGAGACAGTGATATTGTAATCTCTAATTATAATTGTATAATTTTTATTTACACTTGTAGTTCTATCATTTTTTATTGGTAGATGTACTTATATTGCAAATACCACATTATCTTGTTTTTATAGTTGTTTAAATGGTAGTTTGTCTGTTAGAGATGTAAATAGTAAGACAATAAAGTGATACACATTTATTCTTGGGGTCACTGTTTCTGACATGCTTCATTCCTTTATGTATACCCACATTTCCATCTGTTGTCATTTTCCTGAAACACATCCTTTAACCCTTATAAGTATAGATCTGCAGGAGATTAATTCTTTAGATTTTATTTCTTTTTTTAAACGTTCAGAATATTTATTAAGACATCTTGATTTAATCTTTTAATTTTTTCCCATTACCATTTAGTCATCTCTTACCCCCTTCCCCTAAGCAATCACCCCTCTGTTGTCCATATGTTACAATTTCTTTATTTCAGTTGTATTTTTGAAAGAGATTTTCAGTGGGTATTGTGGGTTGACAATTCTTCCATGGTACTTTAAACATGCTGCTTCATTTTGTTCTCATGCTTTCTGGGGAAGAAGGTCTGTCATCCTTACCTTTGATCTTTGGTACAGAATGTGTCTTCTAACTTTAAGATTTTTATTTTTATCCCTGTTTGATCAATTTGATTTTGCTGTTTGTTGATGCTGTATTCTTCATATTTGTTGTGTTTTGGATTTGTTGAGCTTTGGATTGATAAGTGTGCTTTCATAAAAAACCTGGTTATGGATTATTTATCAATAGTTTTTCTGCTCCCTGCTTGAGCATCTCCAAATACATATACATCAGACTGTTTGATGGTTTTCCACATATCACTGAGGCCTTTTTTCATTGTTGAAATTCTCTTTTAACTTCTCATTTTTAAAATTCTTTTTTCTCTAGTGTTTGTTTTGGTAGTTTCTATTACTATAACTTTAAGATTACCAATTTCTTCTACCATGTCTAATTCATATTAATCTTATTGAACATAATTTTCATCTGAGATCATTGCAGTTTTTAACCTCTAGAAAATACATCTAAGTCTTTGCTTTATATTGTCCGTGTTGCTAGTTGGTGGCATATGGACTATAATAACTCCATGTCCTTCACTTCTAACTTCTGTGTTAATTCTGTATTGGTGATCATTGATTTTCTTCTTATGATAGGTCCTGATGTTTGCTTTTTTGAAAGCCTGATAGGCTTCATTGAGATCAGCGTTATACATTTTACCTTGTTTGGGTGCTGGATATTTCTATATTGCTTTAGAAATTCTTCAGCTCTCTTCCCAAATACAGTTGCATTACTTAAAACATACTGATCCTGACTATATGGTTAATTAGGCCTGGACATAGCATCATTCAGTCTAGAGTTATTTCTCAGTTGTAAAGGAAGACTTTCTTGAGTGAACTACCCAATTCCTTCTCCAGTCTGACTTCTTAGAGGTGCCTGATACTGTTCTCTAATATTTTCAGATGTTCCCCCCAGTATGTGGTAGTTTACTCACACATATTCACTGATTAGCACTCTCCCAATCTGCGCATGTGTCTAGCATCCTCTTTATGCTCAGTTCTCTTCTATTTAGCAATGTTCTGTGAAACCCAGCCATAGTTATCTCTATGAATTCCCAGCTTTCCTTTTATATCTCAAAGTATCTACTTCATCTGTGGTTTCCCTACCTCTCTATTGAAGCCTGGATCAGTGATAGAGATTTCCTGGCTTGTTCTATATCCCTCAAGGATCACTCTTATTATGTGAAATGCAGTATATTTGAAATTAATATATATGACTAATTTTTTAAGTTATTTCAGATATTTTTAAGTAGGGTAAACCCTGTCATTTCAATTAATTACATCTTTGGAGGAAAAACAGAATTCTTATTTAAATGGTTTTAATATGTAAACATTTATCACTCACCTGATGGTTTCTTGGTTCGAATCTGGTGCTCTCTCCACTGTGGCTTGAGTTCTATTCCCAGTCATGGTTTAACCCATGCCATGTTCCTGGCCCCCATGTTGAAAAGGAAAAGGAAAAACTGACAAGGATATAGCACAAACCCACTCAGTCACTTTAAATTCTTACTGTTAAGTGAAATATTACCTATGTTATAAAATTTACCCAGTGAAGTTTATACATATATGAATTTGACCTGTTTATCTCCTATGCCATTTATGAATATATACAAACATTTAGTTATGAAAGAGAGAAATCAAGCTTAATGAGGCAAGTGTATTGGTGTTAAGTCACAGGTAAAAAATTAAAGAAAAATAATGATTTAGAAAGTGTTTTGATAGTCACAGTCCCACCTGATTAAATTCAAATTGCCGTGTAGTCAGGAGAACATTTGGTACAAATATTGCCTAAACTGTGCTGTCCAAATTGCTAGGTAACATTGAGACTAGTTAAGGAAAGAAACTAAACAGGTCCAGGTGTTAAGTAACTGTTGTTTATTAGGGTAAATACTATTACTCACTAGAAGATATACACTATTTTAAGAGGTATTTGATGAAACATTAGATATTTAATTATTATTTGAGCTTGCTTTATTTAATTATTATTTGAGCTTGCTTTAACAGTCCCTGGATAAACAAATTAAATGATAATTATTAAAAGTTAAATTCTTATAAAAACATTGTTTAGCACATTTGTTTGGGTTAGGTTTCAATATTTAGTTCCTTGGGTACATGTTGCTAATTTATAGGTAACTGATGCTCCTGTGCATTGAAGCACATACAAGAATACACTTGAACACTTAGTTTTATATGAGCCACTGACCAGTTCATGACAATATGGCAGTGATATATATTCTCCAAAGTATTTAATATCCATTGTGAGACCCTTTCTCTGTCAAATTTTATGATAAAAATTGTGAAGAAATTTTTGATTTTAAATGGTGGAGGCAAACCTAGAAACATTCAGAATCCCTGAGTAACTTTATGATAATAATTGTCTAAGAGAATTGCTCAGACCCAGAGTGAAATTTGCATGGCAGAAACATATTTTATTATTTTATTTTGTTAAGCCAATGAATTATTTGATTTTGCTGTAATACCTAGCCAATTCTAAGTAATATAGAATCTGTGATATGGTGGCTAATTAAATTATATTACTTCTATGCCAATATTTTAAATATGATTATACTCAGTATAAATCAAGTCATAATTTTATAAATCAAGTTATAATTTTAATTAATAAATATATTATAGTATTAAATTAGAAATTGTGTTTATTTCTGCCTAATGCAGAAAACAGTTAAGAGCTATATGGTAGAATATTACTTGGCTAAAAAGAAAAATAATGAAATCTTACTATTAGCTACAGTATGAATGGACCTAGAGGGTATTATGCTAAATGAAATAAGTCAGTCGGAGCAAGACAGATACCACATGATCTCCCTTATATGTGGAATCTAAGGAACACAAGAACCTAAACACAATAGTAACAGAAGCTTAGATACATGGAACAGACTGACAGCTGCTGGAAAGGAGGGATGGAGGGAACAGTATGAAAGATCGTGAAGGGATTAACCAAAGAACATTTACATACAATCCATGGGCACAGAAAACAATGTGGGCATTGACTTATGAAGGAGAGAAGGTGGAGCTGGGGGAACAATTATAGTAGAAAAAACAAGAAACCAAAATATATATGTGATTATTTACATATACATACCAACTAAAACTTAATGAAATATTAAAACATGTAATAAAAAGTAATGAAACATATTAAATGTATGCTAATTCAAGTGGGTTTAGCATAGCGAAATTTTGTAACATTTTTTATGTTTGTGTAAAGGCTTTTATTTATTTATTCTTCAATTACAGATGTCCCCAATCCCCACCCCCTACTAACTCTCCTAAGTGAGCTGCAAAGGACAAGGTGAGTGACCCAGATTTGGTTGCCTCTTGCAGGTCCCCAAGTGGGGACCTGGTCTGCAATCCAGGCAGTGGTAACACACAAAAAAACACATCAGATTATTCAGGTATGTTGCTCATAATAATTATCATCTGACCTTGAGCTATAATAATAATATATATTGTGCTCAGGGTTTTTCACTATTTAGCATGATCATATCATAGCCACATTTCAATCATAGCTATCTCATCTCTTACTGTAAGTCTTTTATGGATCTATTTGTCTTCAGTATTAGTATTCCTGAAAATTCAATAGTGCTTACACACTCAAAATTGCACTTCTAACACTTAAGTGTTTTATTTCTCTTTATACAGCAGCTGCTTGTGTGCTGGTGTTATTTTGGGTTTCCCTGAAGTCCAACCCAAGAAGAGATTCATTTAAATGATCTTTGGAATCAATAATAATTAAAGACATTTCCTGTGAGCACTCTAAACTCAAGGAGTATGTAAAATTAGGTGGGCAATGACTCATCAGCTAACAGCTCTGCTAGGAAAAATGTGAAATTTATACAACATGATCTAGTTAAAGTAAAAAAATATGCCTTATTCAAATCTTTTTTTGTGATGGTTTTTTTGTGGACTAATCATAATCAAATAAAATTAGAAATGTGCAAGAAACATTGAGACTCTAAAAATCTAAACTTATAGGAAATTAAAAAAACAATGATCTAAACTTGAATAGAAATTCATATTGTTATTGTAAAATATGAAAAAATGATTTTTGATAGGAGATATTTCTTTGTTAGAAAACTGACCCTTTTCACAAACAAGTGTTTTTACTTCTCCACATCACTCACAACATGCTATTAAAAGTTGTTCCTCAGAAAAATAACAAATCTCTTCATGCTGTGAGCTGGTGAAATTGCAAACAGCACCAACATCAGGCTGGATGTTGATGCCTAAGCTCTAATGGATGGCACCTGAGTATGCGAATGAAGCCAGGGCCTAATTATAAGCTGTGGTCCCTCTAATTCCATTGCTGCCCCTCATCTTTGCTTTTCATGGTTGTGCCCCATAATGTATGTTTGGTGGGAGATATCATGCAAGGTACCAACACTTATGCCATGAAATCCTGCTCTTTGTTGTTGGTCTATATGTATATGGATTATTATGTTAATTTCAAGTCAGTATCCTTGCCTTACTCAAAGTCATATGAATAAAATACAAAACAAAATTAGACAACACTGGCCAAAGAGATATATTTCTTATGAGCAGAATTTTGGGTAACTTCAAATTAGTGTTAGTAGGCAGGGACTCAGTCTGCCTGTTCAGTGTCTTCTCCCTGAGATCTGTTTCACTGGAGCACTAGCAAGGCTAACTGGTAAGATGTTGAAGGAGCAGAAAGAGCATTTGGTAAATGCTGTTGTAAGTATGCAGTCGTTCTGTCCTGTAAATCATGTGGTACAAATCAGAAATTGAGGAAAATAATAAGTTATTAAAAGTAATGTTTAGTCTTGGTTTGGATTTTTAGAGTTTTACTGAGTTTCTCAAATGCTTTCTTGATAATAGTCTCTTTATGCTTTGGTTACTCTCTATTATCTCAGAGGCAGAGAATGGAAAATAGTGAAGGACAAAAGATAAAATGAGTCACTAAAGTAATTGACACCTCGTTAGCTTTACAAAATCCAGTCTTCTTTTCCCTGAATAGCATTAAAGCCCGGAGCAGACTAAAAGGTTTTGTCAAATTCCAGGCAATGAGAGGAAATGAAATAGTCCAACTAGTTAAAAAATGCATGCCCTTACCAGAGCTGAATCAAGATTAATTTAACAACCTAGTAAGGAATTGTAGGACACTTGCGAATTGTAAAAGAAATTGTTTTTTAAATATATATGTGTATGTGTGGGTGTGTGTTTTAACCTTTTTAATTCATGAAAAGTTTGCAAGCAAAACTGTTTCTATGCATACCAATCAAATAACAGTAGCACCTTTATCAGACATTAAGCCAGCAAGCCTCTCCTAAATACCTACTGTGTACAGGGCGTTATAAAAAGTTAACTAGGAAATGCACACTTGTGTAGAAACATACAAAGAGCAATTGTCCCTATTACAAGATATTTAATGTGGATTGAGGAAGATAAATTGCATGCACAAATTAAATAGCCAGATAATATACTGTAAGCAAACATAAGATGTTGAAATATAATATACAAAGCAAACATAAGATGTTGAAATATAATATACAAATATAATTAAAAATCAGAAAATAAAAAGAAAACAATTGGTACAGTAGTAAGAAGACTATCTTGGACTCAACAAAAGAATATTCAATGTATCTTGTACTTACTTGGTGAATGACGTTGGCGGAATCAAGCATCTTTCAATTCCCATCATTCATAGAATAAGAATGACTAATAAAATGTACATGATAAGTTTGGTGTAATGAGACAAAGAATAGGATTGTGCTTTAACAATTGTAAATTACCAGTAAAGTGAAAAGTTTTGTTAGGAAGGACCATTTTACTCTGGGGTGCATGTTGCTGCTTTGCTCATGTATATAGTTAGAGAATATAACTGGGAGGAAGCTTTCTACATCATCTCCTACTACATCTTTATTTTACAGATGACAAAACTGTGGCTCACAAAGTTAAAATAAATTTTATGTCTTATTTTTTAAAAAATAGACTTTTGGAATATAGTAATAAGTAGAAACATGTAGCTGTTATTACTTCTCATTTAGGTTTTCACAAAATCAACACTATGTATTCTTCCTGACATTAGAAATGAAAATATCACAAACCTACAACTCAAGAAGCTCAAACACTAGACAGAAGACAGCTATTAGTGCCCTCCCCAAGAAAAAGTGTTTTATAATTAGTCTACATTAATGGTATGGTGGTAGAAATATAAGACAAAAGTTCTCTTAATTTAGAAATGTATGCCACTATATGTTTAAACACATGTTAATTTTAGATTATATCCCTATACTTTTTAGTTAGAAAAAATGTTTCCTTTGCACACAAGCCAGAAATCAAATTAAATGTCTTTAATTGTCTATTCCTAGGCAGAGAGATCACTTAAGAAAATGGCATTATGAAAAAATGTTCATACTTTTATTCTAATTTTCTGATCATAGTCACTTAAAAGATTATACTTGCCTAGTATTACTAATAATAATCAGGCTCTAATAGTCATACATTGGATCACCTGGAAGACTGGGAAGTCTTGCAAAGTCTATTTGAGAAGGTTTGCATGTCTAGTTGATCATTTAAGTTTTGCCTTAGCCAGAAGTTATAAGTTCTATTAATCCTATCCAAAATGCCAGGAATTCTTTAATGACTACACATGGGTTTCTACAACTTTTTTTTCTTATTATAAAAAAAATTATCTGGATATGTAAATAAGTTCTTACAGTCAATTTTTATAGATTATACATTTAAATAATACTAGAATCATACTATCCTTTGTATTTTCATGGTATCAATTTTAATGTCTTCTGTCTAATTTGTAATTTTATTTAATAGAATCCTTTCATTCTTTTTTGCTAAGTGTAGAAAAAAAATAAAGACCCCAAATAGCTAAAGCAAACCTGAGGAAAATGATCAAGCCAGAGATATCACAGTTCCTGATATAAAATTATAAAGCTAGAGTAGTAAAAACAGTGTGGATGCTGTCACAAGAATAGACACATAGAACATAACAGAATTAAGAATCCAAAATTAAACCAATTACATAATATTCAAAAAGAGAGCCAAGAACACCCAATGCTGAAAGGGTAGTCTCTTCAACAATCAGTGCTGGGAAAACTGGATATACAGAGTCAGAACAATGAAAGTGGACTCCTATCTTATACCACTGACACAAATTAATTCAAAATGAAGTAATGACTTAAACATAAGACCTGAACAATTCCTAGAATAATTCATGTCCCAGAATAAAACATAGGCACTAAGCTCCTTGACACTGGTTTTAGTGACGACTTTTCAGATTTGACACCAAAAACAGAGGCAACGATTGGGACTACATTAAACCAAAAACCTTCTGCATAGTGTAGGAAACCATAAGCAAATGAGGTGAATAATGTGTGGACTCTGTGGTGCAATGGATAGTGCATTGGACTTGTAGTGATGAAAATGAAATGGGAGAAAGTATTTGTAGTTCATATGTCTGGTATAAAGTATAATGAACTCATACAACTTGATAGCACAAAAAATGATAAAAAGTGAATATATTGTGCTACTTTTTTCCTTTAAAAAATAAGCAACATAGGGAGTTTAAGAATCCTAGCAATCTCAAAGAGCACAAGCATAGTTGTATGATACAGACATACAAATAGGGCTTTGCTTCAAAGAAAATAAAATACCTAGGGATAAACCTAACCAAGTATATAAAAGACCTGTAGTCTGAAAATTATAAAACACTTTAGTGTTTTGAAGCACTTGAAGATACAAATAAGGGGAAGTGCATACCATGTTCACTGATAGGACAAATTAGCATCATTAAAATGTGACAAGGCAGAGGAAAGCAATGGGGAAAAATGTGGGACAATTATAACTGAACAACAATAAAAAAAATTTAAAAAATGTCTGTACTACCCAAAGCAATCTACAAATTCAATGCAATTCTTATCAAGATTCTAATAACATATTTCATAGAAGTAGAACAAGTATTTCAAGAGTTTATATAGAACCACAAAAGGCCCTGAATGGCAACAATGATCCTAAAAAAGAAGAACAAAGTTGAAGAATTCATGCTATCTAACATCAGACTATACTTACTACAAGGCCATAGTAATCAAAACAGCCTGGTACTGGCATAAAAACAGACATGTAGATCAGGGACAGAATAAAAAGCCCCCAAATAAACCCATACCTTTTTTAGTCAATTAATATTCAATAGAGGAAGCAAGCACATACAATGGGCTAATTTATTTAATAAATGATGTTGGGAAAATTGGACAGATATATCCAGAAAAATAAAACTAGGCCACCTTCTTACACCACATACAAGAATTTAAAATGGATCAA